GAAAATGCTGAGGTCACCTCCTATCCTCCGACCCTACAATCCCACTCCTAGATATATGCCCCCAAAGAACTTAAAACTAAGACCATATTAATCTCTATGAGGATACTTAACACAGCACTGCTTCAGTGGTACTGGAGGCAACTGAGTTACCTATTACCCAGATAGGTAACTCAGATGTAACAAACTATGTTTAGGAGTAATCAGCTGGAAATACATGCCATAACATGTCTAACCTAAAAACAGTAAGTGAAAAAAGAAAACTCAAGGTTTGAACATAAGATACCTGTAATATAAAAACCACCCTGCATTTATCAAAGACAAGTTACCAATCCAAGGGCTTATACTAAACACGTGTGAGTGGGGATCTGCTAGGGGAAATGTGGGTGGGGGTAGAAAAACAGAGTGGGGATTAGGGTTAAAGTAAAAGAATACCATAAAAGAAAAGCGTCTTGTCCTGACAACTGAAAATAGGGTGTCATCAGCTAAGGAAGATAATTAATGAAACTCTGAATAAGAAGTCCAAAGAAATTTTTATGCACTAACTTTATTTTCTTTTCCAAATATCTATAAATTTTTGCTCTGAGGCACTTTCATTTAGGTAGTTTTTAATCTGACCATCTGTTTACAAAAGGCCAATACACTGGAAAAAGAAAGAAACTGGGTTTTTTTGCTAATTGTGATGCCAACGTTTTAATCTTTATTAAAAAATAATAACTGATTCAGATGATAAAAGTCTTCCAACAAACCGTTTTTATATATTTCAGTTACCTTACACAAAACACCACAATTGTGCAACGTAACAAAAAATATATATCTCTAAGAAAATTAATGAACTATAGATTTCCTTGCTGGTGATTATTTCCTAAACAGTAATTCCAAAGATGCAAATATCACTACCTAAAGTTGTAGAAGCAATTAAACCATCTCTCTTATCACAGTAACAGACACAAAATGTAGCCCTGGAAGGCTCTTTTTAAAACTACATCCACTACCAATGCCCACATGCTTTTTGACAAATGAAAGTATTAAATGTCAGGTTCTTTAAACTGTGACCTCAAATCACTAATCAAGACTTCTGAAGATCATTACCACTCCCCCAGGAGGTACGCCTTTGTTACCTCTTCAGTGCCAGCACAAGTCCCCAGTACATCATGGTCCTCAAGAAAATGGTTTTCAAACGGATGATCTCAACAAATTGACGGTGGTTATAAATAAATGGAAGAGTGTACAGAAGGAGCCAATGACAACTGACTTGCACTTATCTGAAGGACTATCTTAAAATAGACTGCTCAGTCAGTGAAAGTGGTGCATCTCTAATCTATACCTAGATACAGGTCTCTGAGAACCTAAAAGGACAACCAAATACCCAAGTGCTCCTTCTCTGTTCTTCCATGGCACCCATCACCCATCTCCACACTTACTCACAGAATACAGAAAATAGCTGTGTCTCTACCATCTGTATTCAAGTCATTGAGGGCTTACTTATGTTCACCCATGCCATCATAAATAGCTCCTGTCCCTCACTAAAAGATATGTTGACCAAAACAGGTTAATCTAGAGGACTGCCATAAAAGTTAAACAAAAAAAAGAGAAAGATATGGATTATACCAGAGAATGAGTTAGTATATCACCTCAGATTGCCCACAGCCATCCCATCTTTACTGGGTGAACACTACTGAGATCAAATAAATGGACCCTTTGTTTCTATCTATTCCCTACTCTAGAACTGCAGCCATGCAAAACAATGCCTGTTGTAGTTACAACACTCTTACACATAAGCTTATTCATTCAACAGACCACACTGGAGATCTACTTCAAGATATCCTAAAGGCTTCCTATTTTAAAAAACTGTTCAATTTATTGAATAAATATTTATTATTGAATAAACATTTACAGAACATCAACTGTGTGCCACATTCTAGGCTGGTAAGGCACTATGGGAGAATTAAAAGATGAGTAAAGCATTCAAGGAGCTTACAATTTAGTAAGGACTACTTGACAAATATTCAAAGGACTGTAACATTCAAGTAAGAAAAGCACCATCAAAAAGAAATGAGAGACTTTCAAGAATGATTAGGATTTTGACAGGGAGAGGTGAAAAGGGGGTTTCAGCAAAGAAAATAGTACTATCAAAGAAAAAGAGATGGTACATAAATATAGGAATGCGGACCAAAATATTGGCATATGTGTTAGGTATAAAAAGGCAGAAAACGAGAGTAAACAAAGCAGACTAAAGCCTAACTAGAGAGGTCCTTAAATGCCAGAATTAAATTTTAAAGCTTCCTTTTGTGAATAACAAGGACAATCAAAAAAATAAATAAATAATAGTTTCCCAAAAAAGTCACTGAAAACTGAAATGGGTCTCCATATGAACAACAAAATACTGGAGAAGGAAAACTAGGAGAGGAGCATCTTCAATAGGCCAAGGCTGTAGAAGTTTGCATGACATAATTTTAAAAAGACATCGAGAGAGAGGCTGGGAAGGGAAGGGAAAAAAAAAGAAGGGGCTGAACAATGTTCCAACTATTTTTTATACCAGGATATATACAAATAAAAATATTTTTTAATATACCCAAAAACTTATTTTTTCCGAAAATTTCAGTAGTAAAAGAGAGTAAGAGAATATTTCCAATGCTTGCTAGGATGGCATAACTGGCACCAGACATGCCCCCTTCCCACTATAATCAACCTGAAAACTGTACAAAATATATAAAACTGTTTTCGGACATTGGACAATATGGTAGTGCAGAACTGTGATCCCTGAAGAAGGGAAATCAGTAAAGGAGCCCTATGGCTCACCATAGGGCTTCTACCAAGAAGCACTCTATGGACCACAGTGAGAGGAGATAAAAAGTGCATAGTGGGGTCCAACTGAGTTGAGGAAACATATTTTCGAGTTTCAGGGAGGCTGAGGTAACTGGAGTTTGTAAGGATACAGTGCATAAGAGAAAGGAGCAATACAGAGAAAAAGCTCCACACATCTAAATAGGGATCCCATTTGCACATTTCCAAAGATTATTATAAGACTCCATGAGGCTAGCTGAAGAACAAAGATGAGAGACTTATAACATGAACACTAGCCAAAGGTCACACAGGCCTAGAAGACATTCAAGACTACAACAGAAGAGCAGAGAGATTTCATTGAACACACATGGTATTCAGCAGAGCATGAAAAAGGGTCACACATTAGTAACAGGATTAAATTAGCTCTAGAGTAAAGGCTACTCAAGAACAATCCTACAAAGCATAAAAACCAGCCTCAAGAAAATCAAGCTGATCCACAAAGAATTTAAAACTGCCTGCCAAAGCTAATACTTTTTTTTTTAAAGGCAATAAAATTAAGACACTCAACAATGCAACATTCACAATGCCCATCAACCAACAATAAATCACCACACATGTGAAAAAGAAAAATGTGACTCAACCAAGACAAAACAATAGGAAATGATACAGAAATGGCAGACACAATGGAAATAGCATACTAGGACTTTAAAACAGCAAGTACATTAAAACATGATTTATGAATGTATTCAATAATTTATGTTTAAAATGATAATGAAAGAAATGAAAGCTATTTTAAAAAGTAAAACTTCCAGAAATTAAATCAAAAAGTCTTTAAAAAAAAAATTCATTAGATGGTCTTGTGACAAGGTAGAAGAGAAGATCCTTTAACTTGAAGGCAAACAATAAAAACTATCTAAAAAAGAAGCAGACAGGAGAAAAGAGGGAGAAAAAGTGAATTGAGCCTTGGTGGCCTGTGGAATAATATCTAGTCACCAATGTATAACTAAAATAACTAGTCACCATATGTATATAACTAAAATACCCAAAAGAGAGAAGCAGAAAAAATTTTGAAAAAATAACAGCCTACAAGTTTTCAAATTTGAGGAAAACCATAAATCTACAGATCTAAGAGACTCAATAAACTTTAAACAGGATACATATTTTAAAAAACTACATCAAGATATATCATACTAAGTCCCTGGAAAAAATGATAAGGAACCCCACTGACTTCTCATCCAAAGAAATGGGGGGAAAAAATGTAAGCCAGAAGACAATGGGAAGATATTTTTTTAAAGAGCGGAAGAAATTGAAGGGGAAAAGAAACCGTCAGGGTACAACTGAAAAATAAAAGCTAAAAAAACATTTTCAAATAAAAGGTGAGAATTTGTTGACAGCAGGCCTGTACTGTAAGAAATGTTAAAGAAGTTCATCAAACTGAAGAAAAATTATACTATATGAAAGTAAAGATCTACATGAAGGAATGAAAAGCACAAGAAAAGGTAATTATGCAGGTCAATGTAACAGGCTTTTTTCTCATTTGTTAATTCCTCTAAAATAAAATTGTTTAAAGAAAAAAAAATTTAATGGTGATATTTTACATAATACACAAAGGTAAAATATACAACAATACTACAAAGAACGGAGCGGGGGGAATGCCGGAGTGTTGTAAAGTTCTTAAATGATATGTAAAGTGGTATAATATGCATTGAATATAGACTGGGATAAGATCTGTACTATAATCTTTTTTTTTTTAAAGATTTTGTTATTTATTTATTTGACAGAGAGAGAGAAGAGCACAAGCAGAGGGAGTAGCAGAGGGAGAGGGAGAAGCAGGCTCTGCACTGAGCAGGGAACCCAATGCGGGACTCGATCCCAGGGCCCTGAGATCATGACCTGAGCCGAAGGCAGACACTTAACCATCTGAGCCACCCAGGCGCCCCTGTATTATAAATCTTATCGGAACCCCTAAGTGAAATAAATATACAAAGATGTATATAGCTTAAAACCCAAAAGGTGATGTAAAAATAAACACTAAAATACTCAACTAACCCAAAAGAAAGCAGGAAAAGAACAGAGGGGACAAATAGACATATTTCATATTTCCCCCAAAATGTGTCTATTCAGACATTTTGCACATTTTTAAGTCATTTCTCTTTTGACAAATGTCTTATTGAACTGTAAGAGTCCTTTATATATTGTGGATACAAGTCCCTTACCAGAGATATGATTTGCAAGTATTTTCTCCCAGTTGGTGGGCTGGCTTTTCACTGTCTTGATGGTGTCTTCTGAAGTAGTTTTCAATACTGATGAAGTCCAATTTATCTATTTTTTCTTTTGTCACTTGTGCTTGTGATGTTTTCTCAGAAAGGTCTGCTTAATCCAATGACATGAAGATTGACTCTTAAATTTCTTTTAAATTTTATAGTTTTAGTTCTTACATTTAGGTCTATAATCCATTTGGCATCAATTTTAATGCACGGTTAAGGAAAGAGTCCAACTTTATTCTTTTGCTAATGGATACACAGTTGTCCCAGCACCATCTGTTGAAAAGACTAGTCTTTCCCTATTAAATTATGTCAGCACTCTTGTCAAAAACCAACTGATCAGAAGCATTAGGGTTTATTTCTGGACTCTCAATTCTATTTCATCAATCTTTATGTCTCTCATTATACCAGCATCACACCGTCTTGGTAACTATAGCTTTGCACTAAGTTTTAAAATTAGGAGAGGTCCTTCATTTTTGTTCTTTTACAGAATTGTTTTTACTCTCTTAGATACCCTGAATTTCCATATAAATTCTGGGATCAGTTTTTTATTAAAAAAAAAAAAAGGCAGCTAGGATTTTGATAGAGATTGCCTTGAATCTAGATCATTTGGTAGACTACTGCCAATTTCACATTAAGTCCTCTAATACACAAACATGCAACATCTATTTATTTAAGGTCTTCCAACAATTTTGGTAGGTTTTAGACAATTTTTCTACTGCTTTTGTTAAATGTGCTCCTATTTGATTTTTTGTTGCTATTATAAATGAATTGTTTTCTTAATTTCACTTTTATATTGTCCATTGTTGGTATATAGAAATATAATTGATTTCTGTATACTGCTCTTGTACCTCGCAATTTGCTGGTCATTTATTAGTTGTAATAGATTTTAATGGATTTCTTAGAATTTTCTATAAAGATCCTGTCATCTACAAATATAGTTTTATTTCTTCTTTCCAATCTGGATGCTTGTGTTTCTTTTTCTTACCTAATTGTCTTGACTAGAACCTCTATTATAATATTGAATAGATCTGGTGACAGCAACACTCTTGCCTTGTTCCTGATCTTGGAGAAAAGCATTCACTCCTTCACCATCACATAGCTCTGTTTTTACATAGATGCCTTTTATCATACTGAGGAAATATCCTTTTATTCTGAGTTTAATAAAAGGTTGCTGGATTTTTCAAATGATTTTTCTAATGAGATGACCATTACCTTGATACCGAAATCTGACAAAAACATTACACTGTCCCATCAGCTTGAGCTGCCATAAAATACCACAAAATGAGTGGCTCAACAATAGGAATTTATTTCTCAAAGTTTTGCAGGCAAGGAACTCCAAGTTCAAGGTGCTGGCCAAGTTGGTTTCCCAGTGAGGACCCCCTTCCTGGCTTATAGAAAGATGCCTTCCCGCTGTGTCCTCACATGTCCTCATGTGGTAGGGAGAGTGAGCAAGCAAGCTCTGGTCTCTTCCTCTTCTTATAAGGACACTAATCCTTACATTATGGGGGGCCTCACCCACATGACCTCCTCCAAACTTAACTGCCTTCCAAAGGTCCCACCTCCAAATACCTTCACGTTGGGAGTTAGGGCTTCAACACATAAGTTTTGAGGAGACACAAATATTCAGTCCATAATACTCCCTCCCAAAAAAATTATATCCCTCATAAACAAAGATTTTCAAATCATTAAAAAATATTACAAATCAAATTAAGCATGATATTAAAGGATAATGCATCATAACCAAATGGGGCTTTCAAATGCAAAGGCTGATTAAGGATCTAAAATCCAATCAATGCAATATATCAAATTAATAAATTTAAAAAGAAAAACCAAATGATTCTTTCTATAGATACAGAAAAAAATCATATGACAAAATTTAACATTCATTTATAATAAAAGCTCTCGGCATACTAAAAATAAAAGGGAATTTGCTCTACCTGCTCTATAAAGAAATTTGCAGTTAACATCATACATAATAGTGAAAGTCTAAATGCTTTCTATGTCCAGGAACAAGGTGAAGATGCTTACTCTCACCGCTTCTATTTAACACTGCACTGTAAGTCCTAGTCAGTGCATTAAAAAAGAAAGAAAAGACATAAAGATTGGAAAGAAAGTTACAAAACTCTCTTCATTTGTAATTAATGCAATTATTTACAAAGAGTATCCTGAGGAAATCACACACAAAAGTCAGAAAAATTAATGAATTAATAAGGTACCAGGATACATATTCAACATATAAAAATCAACTGTATTTCTATATGCTAACAATGACCAACTGCAAAATTTACTTTAACTGCATTTTCAATAGCATCCAAAAATATAATTCATATCCTATTCACTTAGGATAAATTTAACAAAAGACATCAAAGACTAGAACAATAAACACTATAAAACACTGCTGAGAGAAATTAAAGAATAAGTAAAAAGGTGAAAATATACCATGTCTGTGGGTTGAAATAACTCAGTACTGTTTAGAAATTCATCCTCCCAAAATTGATCCATTTAATGCAATGCCAATCAAAATTCCTAGAGGTGTTTTGTATAAATCTACAAACTAATTCTATACTCAGATAGAAATGGAAAGAACTTAGAGGACCCAAACAATTTCAAAAAAAGAACAGAGTTAAAGAATTTACACCATTGATTTCAAGACAGTTTAAAACACTGTTGTGTTGGCATGATAGATATATAGATCAGTTTAAGAGTCTAGGAAAAGATCCATACATTTTATATAATTACTTGATTTTTAACAAAAGTTTTCAAGATAACTCAAAGGAGAAAAGACAGTTTTTTCAACAAATGGTCCCTGAACAACTAGATATGGAAAAGAATGAACCTTGATCCTTACCTCACACTCTACACAAAAATTAACTCCAAATGGACCAGAGATCTAATGTAAAAGCTAAAACTGTAAAACTTTTAGAAGAAAACACAGGTTGGGGCGCCTGGGTGGCTCAGTTGGTTAAGCGACTGCCTTCAGCTCAGGTCATGATTCTGGAGTCCCGGGATCGAGTCCCACATTGGGCTCCCTGCTCAGCAGGGGGTCTGCTTCTCCCTCTAATCCTCCCCCTCTCATGCTCTCTGTCTCCCATTCTCTCTCTCAGATAAATAAATAAAATCTTTAAAAAAAAAAGAAGAAGAAGAAAACACAGGAGAAAATTTTCACAACCTGGAGTTAACTAAAGATTTTTAGGTGGGGGGGTGGAAAAAGGAGGAGGAAAGGAAAGGCAACAGGAAAAAGCACAGATCAAAAAAAGAAAATATTGATAAACTAGAGCCATTCAAAATTTAATTTACTTCGGCTCTTCAAAAGAAATTATCAGTGAAAGAAAAGAACAATCTACAAACCAGGAGAAAATATATCTGACAAAAGACTTGTTCTAAATATGTTAAAAACTTTTATAACTAAACAACAACAATCCCAATTTTTTTTAAATAGGCAAAAGATCTGAACAGACACTTGACAAAAGATAAATGGCCAATAAGTAAATAAAAAGATCAACATCACTAGTAATCAGAGAAATGCAAATTAAAACCACAATGAGATAAAACTACTCACTTAGGAGAATATCTGAACTTAAAAGAAGGCTAGAATGATATCAAGTGCTGGCCAGAATGTGGGGCAATTAGCACTTTCATACCCTGCTGGGGAATATGGTGCAATCACCTAGAAAACAGTTTGGCAGTTTCTTACAAAGTTAAACACACACTTTACCACATAACACTAGAATTCTACTCCTGGGTTACTTAACCCAGAAGAATTAAAGCATATGTATACAAATACTTGTACATGAACATTCATGGTAGTGTCATTTCTTATAGGCAAAAACTTTAAACACCCCCAATGTCCATGTACAGGTCAGCTGTGGCATATTTTCACAATGCAACTACTCTGCAGTGAAAAGGAACTACTAAGGTATACAATAACATAGTAATAAGCTTCAAAAATCTCATGCTGAAAAGAATGCATAACATGCGATTCTATTTATGTGAAACCCTGGAGCAGGCAGAACTACTTCATAGTGACAAAAATCAAATCAATAGTTGTCCGGAAATGACGACAAAGGAGGGAGAAATGACTGTAAAGGGATACATGGGAACTCTTATGAGATGACAGAAATGTTCTTTACCTTATCATAGTAGTTACGGGTATGTTTGTCAAAACTCATTGACCTGTACATTTAAAATAATTGCCTTTTATTTTATGTAAATTATACCCCAAATACATTTGATTTTAAAAATTTAAAAGAAGTAGCATTTAGACATTTGGGAATAGCATCATTAACCAAAGATGCCAGTAAAGGGCACATCTAGTTTTAGTCAGGTTTAACCCCTATAAAGTAAGTCTCTTACTGTCTCAATCAATTATATGTTAAATACCAACTATGCGCCAGGAATGATTCCTAGTGTGGTGATACAGTAGTAAAACAAAACTGAATCCACTGCCCTCATCAAGCTTTCATCCTAACAGGAAATACTGACCATAAAAAAGTAAAAGTAATAGACAATAAGACAGACTAGGAAAGTGCTAACCATAAAAATAAAGCAACTGGGGGATGGGAGACATTTTAAATACGATGGTCAAAGGTCTCACTAGGAATGTAACATTTCAGTAAAGATCCAAGAAAGATTAGGAAAAAAAGCTAAGAGGTTATCTGGGGGAAGAGCATTCCAGAAAGAGGGAAAAGTGCAAAGACTCTGAAGCCAGCTATTCAAGGAACAACATGGTGTCAGGTGTAAATAGAGAGCACTAAACAATACAGTCAAAAGATGAAGTTGCAGATGGGGCAGTGTCATGTAGAGACTCATAAGCTACTACAAAGGCTTTAGCTCTTACACTGAGTAAGAAAGGAGACTACTGGAGTTTTTATTTGAAGAATGATAGGATTTGACTTATGTTTTAACCATTATTATTTTGGCTACTGCACTGAGACTAGACTGAAGTGCTGGATTATGGGTTGAAGATTTTAAGAGGAAACTGAGAGAACAGTCAGGAGGTATTAAAATAATCCAAGTAGGAGATGATAATGACTTGAACCAGATGATAGTGGAGGTACTGAGACATGGTAAGATTCAGATGCTATATGTATTTTGATGGGAAAGCAATATGAACTACTGACAAATGAGGTATGGAAATGAAGACAGAAGAGACAGGGAGGACTCCAAGGTTTTTGGTCTAAGTAACAGGGATAAACGTGTCATTTACTAAGATGGGGAAGACTAAAAATGAAACAAGTTTGAGTAGAAAGATCAGTTGAGTTTTGAGCATTTTCTATTTAAATACCTTTAAATATCCATATGGAGGTATCACAATTGGATGTGTGTCAGCAGTTCAGAGGAAAAAAACCTCTTATAAATTAAAGATTTTCATTATTATTTATTTATTTTTTTTTTGCAAAGTAAATCACTGGGTATGAGGTGTGTGTGTCTGTGTGCCTGTGTGTGTGTGTGCAAGATTTTCAGGAAATAGTCCATACTTGAATTTAATACATTAAGGCCTCAGCACTAATGGATTGTTTGTATGTTTTCTGATTTACATAAATCCATACAAGTCTGCTAGGCACTTCACACCTTTATTTTTACTTTCACATCTGAAGTACAGCAATATGGATAGATAAGGTGTGTATTTAAGATAACAACGTGAACAGACACATTCCTGGAACTATAGCTATTTAAAAGTGACACCAGCATCAAGATACTCATTCTTATTCTGGGAAGGCTTTAAAAAACAATCACTTGTTATGAAACTAATTGCACTGCCAAATGCTTCTTAAGATCCCACGTAAAAATCATCATCTTCT